ATATATATATATATATATATGGGCTGGGCAAATGGCTCACGCCTGTAATCCCAGCACTTTGGGAAGCAGAGACAGGCGGATCATGTGAGGTCAGCAGCTTGAGGCCAGCCTGGCCAATGTAGTGAAACCTTGTCTTTACTAAAAATACAACAATTAGCCAGTACTTGGGAGGCTGAAGAAAAGGAGGCAGGAGAATTGCTGCAACCCGGGAGGCAGAGGTTGGAGTGAGCCAAGATCGCACCACTGTACTCCAGCCTGGGTGACAGAGTATGATGACTCCATTTCAAAAGAGAGAGAGAATTAACCTCCCTTCTTTATGCACAGAGGGCCACAGCAAGAATGGAGGAATTAGGGGTGTTAAATCTTGTGTGAGTGTGAAAGGGGGGAACCATGTGACGGGAAAGAACTGAGTGATTCCTCTGGTTGACTCTGAGAACTTCCTCTTCCTTTACAAGCTGGCTCTGAAGCACCGTCAGGGCAAGAATCACAAGATGCGCATCATTGCCTTTGTGGGAAGCCCGGTGGAGGACAATGAGAAGGATGTGAGTCCAAGTGGCAGCTGGGGAATGTGGGCAGCCCGTGTTTGGGACAGGTCTTTCAGCCCTCAGGAGAACCTGGCAGAGGCATCAGGCTCATCACTTTGGGGAAAGGTGAATGTGCAGAATTCAGTGATTCTGTTTGAGGAACTTGGGGAGGTCAATACATTTCTGTATGCTTTTATGAAGTGGGTCCTTTACCCCCTCGAGTATGAACAGATTTCTTGATTTTTCTCCCCTTCGTCCCAGCTGGTGAAACTGGCTAAACGCCTCAAGAAGGAGAAAGTAAATGTTGACATTATCAATTTTGGGGAAGAGGTGAGTAGGGACTGATTGGAGGGGATTGGCTTAATTTGGTTATAAACAGAATGATCCTTAACCCTTAGGAGTGCATGCACTGTGGCAAAGTAGTGCAGAAATGGCAAAGAACAGGGAGCAAGGCCTGAAGGAGGGCGTCATGTGTTCTTTCCTCCCCAGGAGGTGAACACAGAAAAGCTGACAGCCTTTGTAAACACGTTGAATGGCAAAGATGGAACCGGTTCTCATCTGGTGACAGTACCTCCTGGGCCCAGCTTGGCTGATGCTCTCATCAGTTCTCCGATTTTGGCTGGTGAAGGTGGTGCCATGCTGGGTCTCGGTGCCAGTGACTTTGAATTTGGAGTAGATCCCAGTGCGGATCCCGAGCTGGCCTTGGTGAGCAAATGTTGACCCCAGGTGGAGCCCAAAGGTCCTTCTTTGTTCTCCTCTTCTGGCACACACATCACAGAGCTTCTGCCAGGCTGAACAGTCCTAGACACTCCCAGTCACTCATTTTCCAAGACTTCCTTTTGCCCCCTCTTCCCTATAATTCTGTCTGATCTCTAGGGGCACCAATGTCAGACTCTTTCTTGTTCACTCTCCAGATTAAAACCCAGGCTTCTCCTGAGTCTTTACTTTTTAATCCCATACCACTGCTTATCCTTCCAGCTTCTTTGTGTGATACACCAGAAGCTGCCCCTTTATGTTCCTTTCCCACACCCCAGCTGACTTTCCCAGCTCCCTGTCGGAGTGAGGGCAGGGGAGCGCTGATCGTGCCCTGCCCTTCGCCAGGCCCTTCGTGTGTCTATGGAAGAGCAGCGGCAGCGGCAGGAGGAGGAGGCCCGGCGGGCAGCTGCAGCTTCTGCTGCTGAGGCCGGGATTGCTACGACTGGGACTGAAGGTGAAAGAGGTGGAATCTGAAGTCCTGGGACTGCGGGATGCTAAACATTGAAAGCTAGGTGTAGGCCCTCAGGGAGAGTGTGGAGGACTGACAGAGTAGGAAGATGTGGGAGGGCCGGGCTAAGGGAATGACTTTGGAGGCTGGCCTGTGTGCATATGGCACCAATTCTACCCTGCTCCTCTTTTCCTTTTCCCAGACTCAGACGATGCCCTGCTGAAGATGACCATTAGCCAGCAAGAGTTCGGCCGCACTGGGCTTCCTGACCTCAGCAGTATGACTGAGGAAGAGCAGATTGCTTATGCCATGCAGATGTCCCTGCAGGGAGCAGGTGAGCCAGAGCCTGCATGGCGCCTAGGCAGAGGGTGGGGTGAGGAAGTGGAACTGAACAGACTGACCCCTCTTCCTCAGAGTTTGGCCAGGCGGAATCAGCAGACATTGATGCCAGCTCAGCCATGGACACATCTGAGCCAGCCAAGGTGAGAGCCATCCCTACCCATGTCAGGTTTAAAGTCCTTGAATTTAGATCCTCATCCCTCTGGGGCTGGGAGCATTTCACCATAGCTAAGTCCTTTGAGGAGCAGAGGAAAACACATGGTTATGCATTTCTTACACGTAAACCTTGCTAAGGTAGCAGTGCTAGTGGTCAGAGTTGGAGAAATGTCCTCATGTTCGGTAATTTTCCTTCCTTGCTGGTGGGAACAGCCTGGGCAGTTCTCTAGGATGTCTTTCCAGGAGGGAGAAAAGAAGGTCTGGGAAAAAGAAAAAGGAGGACTGCGTGTCATAAGAGCAGGAAACCTGAATGTGATGGCATGTTTTCCTCCTCAGAGCTCAATTAGCAGAGTTCTCAGCAGGCCCCTCCTCTGTTTGGTTAGTAATAACTGTTTGCATTCATGCTGTATTTAGGATTTTGCTGACTTGTCCTTTCCTTAGCCTCGGCCAGAGGTGCCCATGTCCCCACACAGTCAGAAGGCAGCAGGGGCTTAGGCAGTGGCGTGCTCCTGGCCTTCACACCTGCTTATTCCCTTACGCTCCACACCCTGCCCTGAGCTCACACTGCCTGTTTGCAGGAGGAGGATGATTACGATGTGATGCAGGACCCCGAGTTCCTTCAGAGTGTTCTAGAGAACCTCCCAGGTGTGGATCCCAACAATGAAGCCATTCGAAATGCTATGGGCTCCCTGGCCTCCCAGGCCACCAAGGACGGCAAGAAGGACAAGAAGGAGGAAGACAAGAAGTGAGACTGAAGGGAAGGGGCAGCTGAGCCTGCTCAGGGCACTGCATGGGAGGCACGGAATACAAGGTTAGCTGAGTATTACCTGTAACCATTACAGCCTAAATAAAGCTTGGCAAGTTTTTTTCCTTTTTTGCTTCAGATAGTGATGGTTTTGATTGCAAGAGGTGAAGAATCCACGACTTGAAGGAGAGCCTTCCTTTTTGAGTTCTCCATGTCTCTGCTTCCACCTGCCTGGGCCTCCTAAAGTGCTGGGATTACAGGCCCAGGAGCCGTGCTTCCATTTCTAATGAGTGAAGACCTCATTTAAACCACCTTCTTGCCAATAACTTTTACTCTGCACTCACACAGCTAAACCCCAAGTGTAGATTGGAACTCAACCTTTTCAGTTTTTTTCATGTAGACTTCTAAGGTTCAGCAAGTTTAGGTTATTTGGTCAAGGATATTTAGCTAATGAAGAGACAGAACCAGGATCAAAATCCAGACCTGTCTCAAACCTGTCTCACCAGGAGCTGAGTCACCATCAAACAGTAGTTTCCCATTGCTCAGCTGCCTTCAGTGACCCTGGTCAGCCCTGCAAGTCAGTTTCCTGTAGCAGCTACTCTACCTTCTTCTACTCCCCCATCACTCAACAGAAGCCTGACATCTTTACAGAGAGTCAAGGCCATGAGGCGGGAAGCTCTGGCCCCCTTCCCTTGGCCAGCACCTCCTTGCATCAGTTATGCTGTCTCCCAAACCTCTGCTGTCCTGAACACTCTGCTGATGTTTTCCTCCCAGTGTACACGCATCAGGTCCACTCTCCAAGTAACCTTAACTTGAGACTTTATATAGCACTGTTTAAATATTATTTCATAAGGAACATCTATTTCCTTTATAATTAAAAAAAAAAGTTTGTTTTAAATAGAGATGGGGTTTCACTATGTTGGCCAGGCTGATCTTGAACTTGGGACTTCAGGTGATCCACCCACCTCAGTCTCCCAAAATGCTGGCATTATAGGCATGAGCCACCATGCCCGGCCATTTCTTTCTTTTTTTTTTTTTAGACAAAGTCTGTGCTCTGTCACCCAGTGGTATGATCATAGCTCACTGTAGTCTCAACCTGCTGGCCTAAAGAATCCTCTTGCCTCAGCCTCCTGAATAGCTGGGACTAAGGCACACACTACCACACCCAGCTAATTTTTTTTTTCTTCTTTTGAGACGGAGTCTTACTCTGTCCCCCAGGCTAGAGTGCAGTGGCGCTGTCTTGGCTCATTGCAACCTCCGCCTCCCAGGCTCAAGCGATTGTCGTTCGCCTCCCAAATAGCTGGGACTACAGGTGTGTACCACCATGCAGGGCTAATTTTTAATTTTTTTGTAGAGATGGGGTCTATCTTTCCCAGGTTGGTCTTGACCTCCTGGGCTCAAGCAATCCTCCCACCTCGGCCTCCCAACGTGCTGGGATTATAGGTGTGAGCCACTATGCCTAGCCTATATAGTTTGAAAAGTCAGACTTATAATAAAAATTGGTAGGGTCCTGCCCCATCCCTCTGCATTTTCGAAGTCTACTCCCAGAAGTAATCAATTTTAACTTCTTTAGCTCTTTCTGTACTTACTTACTTATTGCCAAAGAATGAATTTATATGGCTATTTCTTAATTTTTCCTTTTTTTTTGAGACAGAGTTTCACTCTTGTTACCCAGGCTGGAGTGCAATGGCGCGATCTCGGCTCACCGCAACCTCCGCCTCCTGGGTTCAGGCAATTCTCCTGCCTCAGCCTCCCGAGTAGCTGGGACTACAGGCGCGTGCCACCATGCCCAGCTAATTTTTGTATTTTTAGTAGAGATGGGGTTTCACCTTGTTGACCAAGATGGTCTCGATCTCTTGACCTCGTGATCCACCCGCCTCAGCCTCCCAAAGTGCTGGGATTATAGGCGTGAGCCACCGCGCCCGGCAATTTTTCCATTTTAGCCATTATCTATACTGTTTACTATAGACTATTATAATTTTGAGTTTTTTTCTTCTTTTTTTTTTTTTGAGACAGTTTTGCACTTTGATTGCCCAGACTGGAGTGCAATAGCACGATCTCAGCTCACTGCACCCTCCACCTTCCAGGTTCAAGCATTCTTGTACCTCAGCCTCCCAAGTAGCTGGGACTACAGGCATATGCTGCCGTGCCTGGCTAATTTTTGTATTTTTAGTAGAGACAGGGTTTCACCATGTTGGCCAGGATGGTCTCCATCTCTTGACCTCGTGATCTACCTGCCTTGACCTCCCAAAGTGCTGAGATGACAGGCGTGAGCCACTGCGGCTGGCATGGAATCTTTGTTGTTGTTGAGACAGGGTCTGGTTTTGTCATCCAAGCTGCAATGCAGTGGCAGGAACATGGCTTAGGCTCACTACTGCCACTATCTCTGAGACTCAAGCGGTCTTCCTGCCTCACTATCACAAGTATCTGGGATTACAGGTGCATGCCAGGCTGGTTTTTATATTTTTTGTAGAGATAGGGTTTCACCACGTTACCCAGTCTCCTGACTAAGCAATCCGCTCACCTTGCTTGGCCTGCCAAAGTGCTGGGGTTACAGGCATGAGCCACCTTGTCCATGGCCTGGATGCTAGTTTTCAGGGGGTATTACTAAGAAACCAGGGCTGGGTGTGGTAGCTCATGCTTGTAATCCTAGCACTTTGGGAGGCTAAGGTGGAAGCATCACTTGAGCTCAGGAGTTCAAAAATTCCCCCAAATTTTATTTATTTATTTATTTATTTATTTATTTTTTGAGACGGAGTTTCGCTCTTGTTACCCAGGCTGGAGTGCAATGGCGCAATCTCGGCTCACCGCAACCACCGCCTCCTGGGTTCAGGCAATTCTCCTGTCTCAGCCTCCTGAGTAGCCGGGATTACAGGCATGTGCCACCATGCCCAGCTAATTTTTTGTAGTTTTA